ACAAGGAAAGGTGAAATGACTGTCCCTGCCCTCAAGAAGCTCAAATTCTAATTGGAGGAAGGGGAGATTACCTGTAAATAACTGTGTACATATAAGATATATAGATATTATATGCAAAGTAATTTCAAAAAGAAGGTATTAACAAAGGGGGGGGGGGGCGGCAGGATCCAGAAAAAGAAGGCATTAACAACAGCAGGGATCAGGAAAGGCTTCCTGCAGAAAATGGGATTTGGGCCAAGTCTTGAAGTACATCAGGGAAGCTAAGAGGTAGGAGTGAGGAGGGAGCAAATTCTAGACATGGAAAGCAATGAAGCAAACTCCAAGCATGAGTCAGGAGATAGTGCCAAGCACCAGTGTAACTGAAGCCTAGAATTTGTGGAGGGAGTGAATTATAATCAGGCTGGAAAAGTAGCAAGGAGCAAGGGAATGAAGGGCTGATAAAAGAAAGGCACTAGAGTTTACTGCACGGGGGAAGGGATTTCAGAATGGCACTTTTAGGAAAATCACTTTGTACATAGTAAGCATTTATTTAATGTTGAGTCATAACTGTAGAGATTATGCATGCAAAAACAATTTTAACATCCTTTTTTTTCTTAAGTTTTGAGTTCCAAATTCTATCCCCACCTCCCTGAGACAGTAGGCAATCTGATATAGGTTATAAATGTGCAATCATATAAAAACACTTCCATATTAGTCATTTCATGCAGGAAGGAAGGAAGGAGAAAACGAGAGAAATGCTTCAGTCTGAATACAGGGATATCAGTTCTTTTCTCTGGAGATCATTTTTCATGATGAGCCCTTTGGGATTGTCTTGGATCACTGTATTGCTGAGAATAGCTAAATCATTCACAATTCTTCATTGTATGACATTGCTGTTACTGTGTACAATGTTCTCCTGGTTCTGCTCACTTCACATAGTATCAGTTCATGTACATAGAGACTATTTTTGCTTTGTTTTATCTTTGTATTTAAAGTCACTGAAATTGGCACATGGGTGATTAATAAATGCTTCTTAACATAAATGGGATTTTTATTGTGGCCTCATCACCAAAAACTATCTCTTTGACAAGATGTGAACTTTCCTCATCCTGTATACTACTGAGTTAATCCCACATCTCTAAAGAAGTTCATGGTCATCCCAATTAACATTTCATTACAGCTAAGGTAATACTTTTACTTGGTCTTTAAAGAGAAACTAGAAAGGTGGAGAGAAGAAGATTAGGAGGATTAGGAGAGGGTTATACACAGAAATCTCATCATTTATGATGTCTCTCCATGGATACCATGAGGGCTCAGAGACAGCAGAAGTTGGAGGTACAAATGAAAACTCCTAGATAATGACATGTTCTCAAACCAAGCATTCTGGACCCAAGTGAATCATTTATTGTGCTAAGCACTGGAATACAAGACCAAAAGGGAAAAAATGGTCCTTGCCCTCAAGGTGCTTAAATTTTTTTGAGAGATACAGTGAATAAATACAACATAATTTGAAGAAGTAAGAAAACTAAAAGTAAGGGGAACAGGAAAGGCTTCCCAAATAAGGTGGCACCTAAGTTAACCTTGAAGGAAGCTAAGAATTCTAAAGATACAGCTGAGGACAGAGTGTATTCCAAGTATGAAGGACAAGTCATTCAAATGAAAGGTGGAATACCGAGATCAGGGAACAACAGCCAACTTGGCTGGAAGGTAGGAAAGGCAGACCAGGACAAGTTCAAAAGTTTGTATTTTATTTTAGAAGCAACAGGAAGCCACTGAAATTAACTGGGCAAGGAAGTGGCTTGGTCACACCAGTGTGGGAAACTGTGTGGAGAATGATCTCAGAAGGGAGAGACTAGAGGCAGGGAAATGAAGTAGAAGACTACTGCAATAGGACAAGTGAAAAGTGAAGGCTGTGGACAAAGTTGAGTTTTTGGATCAAGTAGAAGCTATGGAACAGCAATGGATGGAACCATAATGTGAATCAATCCTGGATCTTGCCCTTCACTAGTACTATGTCATGGGGCCTTTGTAGGTCTGAGAAAAGTGCTAGCAAATGTTTTTGGGGTAGATGGGGAAGCTCAACTCCAGAGTAGTACTATAAATTTGAATAACTGTATACTTCTAATGGAAGGAGGGAATGGGTAGACGGAGAGGAGATGTAGGCTTACTGGAAAGAAATAAAGTTCTTTTGATGTGTATGGGCTTAGGTTCAAGTCCTTTGCGTTTTGGGGGCAGGTACAGGGTCCCCCAGCAAAATAAAGTTTTATCTTCGAGGGTTTTTTAACCTGAGTTCTTATATGAAAGCTAAAGGTTCTTAACATTTTCTGTAATGAACTAGACATCAGCCAAACTATAATGTTCACAAGGGAAAGAAACCTTGAGTGAAGTTTATTACCGACAAGCCTCTACTACTGAACCAGGTCCACATAAACCCAAAGCTTCAGTTTTGGGTGAATAGTTACAAAGCTTTGGTTCTGGGCCAGTAGTTACAAAATTAAAATCATTCCTCCTGACAAACTACTCAGAAGGGCAAACATCCTAGATATCCAGAAGGATACGTATATTTACCATGTTTTAGAAGAAACAAAACTTTCGTGAAGATACAGAGCCACTGAAGTTTAAAAAAAAAAGAGAAAAGAACTAGTTACTTATTTTAGAAAGAAAATTTTTTTCACAATGAAATAGCACTCAGTTCTACGATTCAATATCTACATTTCTAAAAAATAAATTTTGAAAGGGAAACTTCAGCCTCGAGTTATAATGACAGGATATAAAAGGAAGTTTCAGTTTATAGTATTACTAGATGGCATTTACATAGCTTGAAAATACCTTAAACATATGATCTTATTTGATCTTCATAACAATTCATTCAAGCTAGGTGCTACAAGTATTATCCCAAGTTCACAGGTAGGGAAACTAAGACTCAGAGAAGTTAAGAGACTTTCCAAAGTCACACGCCGTTAAGTATCAAAGGCAAAAATCAAGCCTAGGTCTCCAAGTTCAGAAACTTTTCTTATGACATTGCAGTGTCTCTCCAATTAAGGAGGTATGTATCATAAATTATTAACATTCAGTGATAATAACAATAAATTTATTATACTACTTCTGTCCCCAAAAACCTTTCATATGTTAATCTAAATTTGCTTTCTTTATATTATTAATCTAATGTTATAGATGTGTAACAAATTCAAAAGTGAAAATGATTTCCCAAATCTCCTGGCTCCCAGTACAGTGTTCATTTTGAATGTTAACCAGAAAATATAATCTTGGTTTCCTATGAAATTAACATTTTTTTTACCCACTCATCAATTCTTAGCTTCTCTATTTCTGTCAAGGGCACTACCATCCTTCCAGTGACTTCAGGTTCCCAACCTCTGAGTCATCCTAGATCAAATGAGGTAAGATATGTACAGCACTTTGCAAACCTTAAAATTCTATATAAATCTTAGCTATTATTATTATCTTCACTCCCCTTTACTCCACTCTATCCAACCAATTGACAAACATTGTTGATTCTATCTCTCACATCCCTCTCCTCTTTCTTAACAAGACCATCACCAAAGCTTAAGCTTTAATAACCTCTCATCCGAACTATTAAATTGATCTTCCCTGGCCAGTCTCTCCCCTCCAATCCAGCCTCTACACAGTTGCCAAAGTGATATTCTAAAGCATATGCCTGGCTATTCACTCCACTACTCTCTAAAGACTCAGGTAGGTCCCTATTATCTCTAAGATAAAATGCAAATTTCTCTATTTGTCATTTAAAGTTCTTCACAATTTGGCTCCAGCCTACCTTTCTATTACTTACACATAATTTCTCCACACATACTCTACATTCCAGACAAACAGGCTTATTTACTCATACACCACATTCCATCTTCCATCTCTGTGCATTTAACTCAAGCCTGGAATGCACTCCTTCCTTACTTCATCCTCTTAGAATCTCTAGCTTCCTTTAAAGATCAGCTCAAAAGTCACCTCCTAAGAGTGAGGGGTGGGTGGGGTACCCCTCTCCATTACCTTGTACCTGCTTATTATAGATATGTTGTATTTACTTACATGGATATATAGTGTTTCCCTTGAAAAAAAATGTAAGCTCCTTGAGGAAGGGGACTGTTTAATTTTTTTCTTTGTAATCTTAGCATTGAGGACATGTTTTACCTGGCACATAGTAGGCATTTAACAAATCCCTGTTGATTGGTATGTCTTGTGACAATCACCTTTTTAATCTCCTTGATTAAATGATGAAAATCACTATAAAATTTTTTGTTAATTAGTTTAACTGCCCTTTCCTAAATTCTATAAATACAATAAGCATATTCTTACTCTTGAAGACTGAAATTTAAGTGGAGAGGTTTGAACATTCTTCCTGAAATTAGATTAGCCACTCTTCAACATTTCAAAATTCTTAAGACAACTGAAATGGAGAGGCAAAAAAGCTAAAGATAATCATTATTTAAAACAAGTTTTTCCCCTTCTCGTTATCTTCTTAGAAAGAATTTGAAAAGTGACTTCATGGTCGAGTTAAATCAACAGAGTATAAATGGCACAATTTCCCTCAACCTTACTTCAAAATAGAAAAAGTTCTTTTCTCTATTGGTTATGCTTGTGAGGAGCCTTTCCAGGAAGAAACGTAAATGTAAAATGGCCTATATCTCATCCTTGTGCAAACGGTAAATATTTTACGGAAGGGAAGTACTGAAGGAAATAATTTTTTTTCAATTACTGTCACTGAATGTATTTGTTAGGAATGTATTTCAGAGGCAAATGTGGTGTATTATAACTGTTATCTAAAAAATTAAAATGTCTATCGACTGAAGACGGGATATATATATGTTTGTGTGGAAATACACAGCTTTTCTCATTTGAACAGTCAATGATTCGGTGACCTTCAAAGCACTTGTATAATAACATCAACAAGAACACGAAATAGAAAACCCAAGAATACCAATGGGAAAGGTGAAATCCCATTGACAATATGGAAGTAATAATATTCCCAATGGAAATAAGCGGCTACTTACTTGAACAGCTGAAGAATAAATGTTAAGACACAAAAGTAGGTCGGAGGTTGGCAACGGGAGATGAACGGCACACACCTGCAGCTTACACAGCTCAGCCCCCACCTCCAGGTCCACCAGACCTATTTAAAAGCCCCGCCTATACCTTCCCGATTTTCACGCATGCTCAATCAACAAGAAATGAAACTTCCACTCCTTTCCGGCATGAGCAGCAGCACAACAAAAACCGGGAATTGCCAGTCGGAGTTGGAGACGCGGGGAGATGGGGGGAAAGGCAGAAGCCGCCAAGCGAGGGGGGATAACTTTTCTCTAAGTTTTCTCGGGGCTCAGAGCCTGGGTCGCCTCAGGGAAGGGCGGGGACGCGACGGGACCTCCCGCGGCTCGCTAGGCCGCCTCTCCACCGGGTGAGCTGCTCTTGCAGACACCTGGGGGATGATGAGGCCTAGCGCCCCGCAGCGGGGCCTGTGACAGCCCGCAGGCCCCACCCCCGGGGGCGGGCGCTGCCGACGACGGGGCGGCCCGGAGGGCGGGGAGGGAGGTCTCCCCTAGTGTTTAGAGCGAGGGGAAGAGGGGAGTGATGGACCATCTTCCCGGGTAGCCTGGGCCGGGGGCGCCTCTCGCTGCGCCACCGCGGCCGCCGCACGGGCCCTCTGCGTCTCCCAGCCCCGCGGACCGGGACTGGACTACCCCCGCCTCAGAGCCGTAGGGAGCTCCCTCCGCTTCCGTCAGGATGGAGGCCTAACGGGGGCGGGGGAGGTCTCTCGAGCCCCCGAGGCGATCTCCCACTCCCCATCCCACCCGCAGGCCTGACTGAGGTCCGTTGCTAAGGGGGCCTTTTCTTGGAGACCGAAGAGGGAGGGAGGGTCTCCTTCCGGTCTGAAGGGAAAGGGGGAGGGAAGCACTCACCTGTGCCCGGTGTCTCCCGATGCCGGCGGTGACTCTCTTTCCCCACCCCCCCAGCCCCCGCCCCTCAGTCCTGGGACCCACTGACACAGAGGCGGAAGTGCGGCCGGCCGCCACACTGAATGACAGCTGCCCCAGCCAATCGATGGGCTCGGCTCCTAAGTGTCTGCCGCATCACAGCCAATCGATGCCTCGAAGAGGAGAGTAGGGAGACCGAACTATGTTAATCGGTTCACCTTTCCGCACCTCCCTTCGCTACTCCTCCACCCGCGCAGACTTTGGAGTCCCGCCCCCGCTGGGGGAAGGGATGAAACGAGTGCCCAATTACTGTTGAGGAGAGGCGGGGTTATGCAGATGAGGCTTAAGGGGAAAGAGAAGGGCGGTGTTTCAGAACTGGAACAACCAGCCTGTGATTTAAGGCTTATGCAATCTCTGAATTTACAAACACAGATCTTTTATGCCCCGCGAGGTGTGGGTACTTCCTTTTCAGCCTGTTTTGGCAGTGACTGCGTTGCATACACCCATGCAGCTTTGGTGGCCGAATGTGGTTTTATCTTCAGGATGAAAGAGGAGGCAGGGAAGCATTTACCCTACTGGGGGGGTCCTAGAGGAATGGGAGAGAGGATGTTAAAAATCTTTTGCTTTTTGTCTGGGACTTCTCAAAGAAGCTAGCTTCCCCCACCCGAAGGTTCCCTCCCCCAGGCTCTGTCCACCCTACTTTGCCTCTCCTTTCCTGGAACACACAGAAGAGGATCCCCCGTTACGAATAATAGCAGCATCTACCTCCCCGGGTGGTTGTGAGGATCAAATGAGTTAATAATTGTAAAGCCTTTAGCACAGTCCTGGCACAGTCAGTGCTATAGAAATGTTAGCTATTATTATTAGCCATACCTCATAATTCTATCTCACCCCTAAAGAGTGGAAAAGACCTGAGTTGAGTTCCAAAATTTTGAGACCAAGAATTTTTTTGTTCTTCGGTACCTTTTGCCACCCATTCTGTTACATCTCTTCACCCGCCCCCACCCCCACTTCTTTGTAGCCTAGTCCAGAGTTACTATGCTCAAAAAGTATTTATCAAAGCCACTGGCAAAGGATTCTAGGAGGGACCTCTGAGAGCCTATTTAGTCCAAACCCCTACATTTTACAGATGAGGCCCGCAAAGGTTTGGTGACTTTGCCAGAGGTAGTAAGGCAATACTGGGATTTAAATCCATATTCTTTGGCTTCAAATCCAGTACCTTCAAGATTATTCTCAACTTTTACACATTCCTGGATGCCGTCTTCTGTCATTTCCACCTATCTAAATTCTACCTCTTTCAAAACCACGGACAAATCTGACCTCAACCATGCCTTCTCCAACCACTTCATACATATCTCATTGCTTTCCTTTATGTAGTCCAATAACACTTACAATCTGAACCTAGCACTCTAGCTTTAACTTTAATGCTGATTACATAAATTAATTCTCTCCTGCTTTTCTCTATGTCTTATCTCCCTAACTCCATCTAGAGTATAAAGAGTGGCAACGGGAGAGATAGCATCTTCTACTGTTGTGAAGGAGTTGTACATACTAGGCCCCTCTCCTCCAACTCCAATTCTTCATTGAACATAGAGGGCCTTTCTCCTCTTTCCCACTTTGAACATCTGAAGATATTCTCTGTTGCTTCCAGTCCAGCATCTTCAAAAATTAGAGGGAAAGGGGTAGGGCCTTTTGTTGTTGTTCAGTTGTTTTCGGTCATGCCTCTCCATGACCCCATTTAGGATTTTCTTGGCAAAGATACTGGAATGGTTTACCAGTTTCTTCTCCAGCTTATTTTACAGTTAAGGAAACTGAGGCAAACAGGGTTAAGTGACTTGCCCAGAGCCTTCCAGACATTTGTGATTGAAATGCCTTTGTGGATGGTGACCCTCTCTTGGCAACAACCCGCTCCTGCCAATGCTTAGGCTCTCTCTGTTCCTCCTGCTCTTCAAGTGTCAGGGAGAAGGTAATTCTCAGCTGTGGTAGTTGTTATCTTTCCAGACTGTGCTGATAAAGTTGATCCTAAATGAAGGAAATAAACAAAACAGGTGAAGGTAACCAGAAATCAGTATAGTTAAATACATGTGTCAAGTGATAAAAAGTGGAGAGATAGGGTCCTAGGGCCTCCCCACTCAGAAGTAGACAATACTTTTTTTCCCTCAGTCACCACCAGGAAGGAGGAAATCATTTTTACACAGTCTCCTCAAACTTAGCAGCCTCTTAACCCTCAGCTTAATGCTCCCAGGACCGGGTCCTCATTGACAGTCACTTGTTGTACTTGAAAGCTTGTATCAATGAAGGAACCCAGTACCTTCCTGAGACTATCCATTTTACCTTCTTTCTGGACACAGTACCATTCTTCTTTTTTTTTCCTTTTTTTATTTATTTTTTTATTTTTAGCATGTATTTTTAAAACTTTGGGTTACAGATTTTCTCCCTTCCTCCCTCCCCACCCACCCTCATTGAAAAGTTGAGCATCTGGATACAGGTCATAGATGAGTAGTCATGCAAAACACTTCCATAGTAGTCCTGTTGTGAAAAACTAAGTTTATTTCCTTTCATCCTATCCTACCCCCCATTTATTCTATTCTCTCTTTTGACCCTGTCCCTCCTCAGAAGTGTTTGCTTTTGATTATCCCCTTCCCCCATCTGCCTTCCCCTCTATCAACCCCCTGCTCTCTTGTCCCCTTCCCCCCTTATTTTCCTGTAGGGTAAGATAGATTTCCATACCCCATTGTGTATGTTATTCCCTCCTTAAGCCAAATCCTATGACAATAAGATTCATTCATTCCCTCTCACCTTCCCCCATTTCCCCTCCACTGTAAAAGCCTTTTCTTGTCTGTTTCATGTGAGATATTTTACCTCATTCTACTTCTCCCTTTCTCCTTCTCCCAGTATAATCCTCTCTCACCCCTTAATTTTATTTTCCAGATATCACCCCTTCATCTTCAACTCACCCTGTGCCCTCTATCTATCTAAATATACATACATATAATTTTTTCCCTCCCACTACCGTAATACTGACAAAGGACTCATGAGTTACAAATATCATCTTTCCCTGCAGGAATGTAAACAATTCAACCTTAATAAGTCTCTTATGATTTCTCTTTCCTGTTTACCTCTTCCATGTTTCACTTGAGTCTTGTATTGAAGGTCACATTTTCTATTCAGCCCTGGTCTTTTCCACAGGAATGCTTGAAAGTCCCCTATTTCATTGAATGACCATTTTTTTACCCTGAAGGATTATACTCAGTTTTGCTGGGTAGGTGATTCTATGTTGTAGTCCTATCTCCTTTGCCCTCCAAAATATCATACTCCATGCCCTGAGGTCCCTTAATGTAGAAGCTGCTAAATCTTGTGTTATCCTGATTGTGTTTCCACAATACTTGAATTGTTTCCTTCTGGCTGCTTGCAATATCTTCTCCTTGACCTGGGAATTCTGGAATTTGGCTATAACATTCCTAGGAGTTTTCCTTTGGGGATCTCTTTCAGGAGGTGATAGGTAGATTCTTTCAATTTCTATTTTGCCCTCTGGTTCTAAAATAATTAGGGTAGTTTTCCTTGATAATTTCTTGAAAGATGATGTCTAGGCTCTTTTTTTTGATCATGGCTTTCACATAGTCCAATAATTTTTAAGTTCTCTCTCCTGGATCTATTTTCCAGGTCAGTTGTTTTTCCAATGAAATATTTCACATTCTCTTCTATTTTTTTCATTCCTTTGGATTAGTGTTACAGTGCCTTGATTTCTCAAATTGTCACTAGCTTCCAATTTCTCCATTCTAATTTTTAAAGAAGTATTTTCTTCAGTAAGCGTTTGGACTTCCTTTTCCATTTGGCCAATTTTGCTTTTTAGGGCATTCTTCTCCTTGTTGGCTTTTTAGACCTCTTTTGCATTTGAGTTAGGCTATTTTTTAAGGTGTTATTTTCTTCAGTATTTTTTTGGGTCTCCTTTAGCATCACTCAGTTTTTCTTCTACTTCTCTTACTTGCTTCTCAAAATCCTTTTTGAGCTCTTCCATGGCCTGGGACCAATTCATATTTTTTTTGGAGGCTTTGGATGTAGGAGCTGTGACTTCGTTGTCTTCTTCTGGTTGTATGTTTTGATCTTCTTTGTCACCAAAGTAAGATAATATAGTCTGACTCTTTTTGCGCTGCTTGCTCATGATCTACGCCAATTACCTGAGTTACAAACTCTTTGTT